CATAGAATGACTACACTCATTTGTGAAATATAAAGTAGCATAACATGAGACTAACATCTTTTATATTCGTTAGCATCTTCAATTTCATTTATATGGATTTTTTATACTTTGAATTAATTATTCTTGAGTTGATTGAATATATCTTCCAGTTATTGCTTAAATTTTCATTGATGCTGTTTATTTGAGGTCCTGCAGGCTGGAGAATTATGATTAACTTGAGAACTTCACTAGACTTCTATATCTTTCTGCCAGAGAAGCTGAATTCCTTTATTTCCCAAATGTTTTTTAAGTTTTGTAGGCACTGAGATTGGAACGTTATATTCCCAATTATATGAGTAATTATCTGTTCATTATTTACACTAGGCTACTTATCATGCCTCCAGCTATTCTATTTCCATGTTTTGTTACTTCAGTGGGAGAGGAAGGACTAGATATAGTTCTTCCCTTTTAGTTACTAGGGACATTGAGGGTGTGTGTGTGCAGTGTTCTGGCACTGAATAAAAGACCCATGATTTCTCACCACTCCTCAAAGTGCATGGGGTAGGTAGAATAGAGTAGCTGTGAGGAGTTTTTTAAAAAATTCACATCAGTTTTGGTGAGTCCATTTGGCTGGACACTGGACAGATACCATTCTTGGGTAGGGTCCTTAAAGTTGCAGTGTGGCCAAACTACCTGATAGCTTTAAGAAAAAGGACAGCAAGATTATCTTGATTATTTCTGATGGTTAATCTTGTTCAAATATTCCTTTCATTTGGAGTTGACAGGACATAGAACAAATAATACCTAAGCTGTTTTGATCATGCTTCATATGAGTCAGTTCAGCTTGAATATGATGTACCTATATAAGTACTTTTAATATATTATAAGTAGAATTCATTTGTACATATATTTGTTTACTAATATATAAAGTTAATTGTAAAATAAAATTTGAAAGTAGTGAAAAATGAAATACATAGAAATTGATGTTTCTGTTTTGTGGTCTTTTGCTGAACTCTTTAGTATATTTATCTGATACTTTTAGGATTATATTTAGAGAAGCAGAGTGGTTATTTAGATAACTGTTAGAAAATCCATAGGTTTAGTAAGAAGAATCTAATTAGAAAGGAAACCATAAAACAAAAATTGTGAGGAAGAAAATTAAGCAGTCATGTATAATTGTGGTCGAACTGGACTATGGGAATGAATAGGGAAGGGACATGGAAAAGATGTTTTGGGTTAAAGATTTTGGGTTGGTTTTTAATTTCTTCTTTCCTTTCCCCAGTTTAATGAGGTATAATTAACAGAGAAAATTATAAGATATATCAGGTGTACAATTTGACTACTTGGTAAGTGTTTACATAGAAAAAGGATTTCTCCTGAGTTAATTAGCATATCTATCATCTCACATACTAAGCTACCCAGTTTTGTGAAAGAACATTAAAATTATACTCGTCCTACAAATTTCAAAGATTGAGTTATATTTGAATTTTTGTGTGTCGTTTAAGTTTAAAAATGTGTTCCTTAAGAACTTATAGAACTAAGAACGGTGCAAGATATGCTTCCTCAAGGAGGCACAGGTATGAATTAACTTCAGAAAATATGGCAGGTAAAAGAATTTTAATACTCTCAATTTATGCTAGTCAATAGTTTAGCTGCTTTTCCTACTTTAGCTCATAAATAAATAAAGTTCCCAAATATCAAGAGTTATTTGGTTTAAAATGTCAGTGGTGCCAAGATTAAGCAATAGACATATAAATTAAAATCTGACTTGTTTGATTAGCCCCATGACTTTAGGCAGATTGCCTAAACTTTTAAGTCTTGGCTACCAAATTTATAAATAGGCATTACAGATGAGAAATATATAAACTAGTGTACATGGAGTCACTTATAGTATTTCCTCAAAAGCATATTAAAGTGCTAATATAGAGCAAGAATGATTTAAAACATTAAATTTGACTTGATTACTGGAAAAAACATTATTTTGAGTGGTAAGAAAGGAGGGTGGGTGTAAATGAGTAAAGATTAACATTGCAATGAACCTGAGAACAGAGATGTGACTCTCAGGTGTTTATGAGATTAAGGAAAGATATAATTACCATATAATATATATTTAGAATTAGGAAAATGTTGAGTAGGCTTGTAGCAGAGTATTGGGCTCCTTAGTGGAGGAAAAACTGAAGAGGAGAATTAGAAGTGCCAGTTTTGAGGGGTGTAATCTTTGAGAGGTTTTTCTTAAAGAAGACCATTGGCATGGGATGGAGGACACATGCTCTCTGAGATATGAAAGATGGAAAATAATCGGGTGGGTGGAAAGGCAAATTTTTAGTGTTTTCATTTGATTCTGAGACAGGGTTGTTGAGTAACATTGATGAGGAAATTAGGAATAGTGGAAGAAAACGGGGTAAAATTGAGTGATGAGCTATAGAGAAACTTTGAGTAGCTATTTGAGAATAACGAGTGAAGTCTAGTGAAGAATGAATAAATTGCAAAAGAGTTATAATTCCTGAGATTATTCAGTGTAAGTAGTGTATGATCCCAGTTGATATTGTTTCATAACAATGGTGCACAACTATGAGAAGTCTCAAAAGAAAGAAGGTAAGACAAATTGGCTGTTATTTTGAAGCTGAGACCATTCAAAATATTGCTTAGATTTAGGTTGGGTTATAATCGTAGAGTAATTGAAGAGCTGCTTAGATGTTCTTGTTAGCATGCTGTAATGCTTTTAGTATTAGAATGTCAGTTGAACATGGGTATAGGAATCGCCACAATTATTCTCCATATGCGTAATAGAGTAAATACTGAACAAATTGCTGAAGCTCAGGTAGAAGAGGATCCTGCACATGGACAAAGACAGAGCACTTAAATTCAAATTTAAAGGTGAGGACCTTCCCTGGAGGTAGCTTCACTGAATGATGATTGGGGTTTGTTTTCCGGAAGAACCACTGAGGATCAGAAAGGGAGTATTTTCTTCTCCCTAGGGGAAGGGAATAGAATTAGAGCTGAATACTTAGGCAAGTTCTGGAGAGGAGATTGTGCTGGGAAAAAGACTTGACAAGTTAATGTGAACTGTTAAAAGAGGCATTTTTAGGAAGGGTTTGAGGCTTTTAAAAAATGTTCTATGGAATAACAGAGGAGTCTGGATCAAAGGACAAGCAATGGTTGAGAAGAATATTTGATTTAGAATGAAGAAATACTGTGGAAGGAAGTTGATACTGGTGGTAAAATGGGTAATGGAACATTGTATGTCAAAAACTCAAATAACTTTGTATGTAACTCACAGTGCCTTATTAAAATAGAGTTGTGGAAAAAACAATGAGGATATTTGTAAAAGTGAGAAAAATTTGGGTTTAGAATGGTAGTTAGTGGCATTTGTGAGAAATTTAAGGACATTGTGAATGTAAAATGGGTTAAATATTGTGTTAGAGTCTATTTGGCTAAATGATATATCTGTTCTCTCCACTGATTGCATCCATTTAAACTTTGCTGCTATAAGCATAAGTATGTCAATAAACTATACACTGTATTTTTTGAGATATATATATATATATATATATATATGCATGTCCATCTGCCAATCAGTCTATCTACCCATTCATCTATCCTTGACCCAACCTTATTCCACAGCCACCTCTTTACTAAACAGATAGAAATAAGACTTAATAATAGCTCACAAATTATTCATTGAAATATATTTTAACCTGAAATCACTTGAAGTAAATAATGGCTATCTTCATTGAACATAAAAATATTATTCAAAATAATAAAAGAAAATCATAAAAATTTCCTAGTAGTAGGTTATTTTGCCTTAGTACACACACACACACACACACAAACACATATATATGTATATATATGTATATATTGCCCAGGTAGACTATAATCACATAGTTCCTGTTGCACCTCAGGATGGACGGACCATTAAGGTAATATTAGGTGATTTGGATTTGGTTATGAAAAACAAGATCAAACTATCTGTAGCTTTATAACATTGTCAGTTTAAAAATAAAAGTATAATTCGCATAAAAAGTGATTATTTCTGTCCTGTTTTCTTTTGTGCTGTGTGTGGTACACGGCATCTGAGTAGCTACTCAAAGTGTGTGAGCAACAAATGCCCTTTCAAAGCAAAACAAAAAGGTTCTTTGAGAATAATTAGGCCTAAATTTTGAAAGATGACTGTAATTGGTACAGCCATAGACTTAGAGGCAGTCACTGTTCTCATATTCTCATGTACAAATTAGGCAACTGAGCATGCAAATTTCAAACTGAAAACTGCATGAATTGACAGAGTCTGCAGAAAAGTGAACCGTCCACGCTAGTTTGTGTACTTTTAGTGATGATTTTTATAGTACCAAGGCAAGTTTGTGCAATCAGAGTCTGATTTATATTTATGGTTATAAAAACTCAAGTTCCAAGGAATTTAAGAATTATTTGAGATTCCTAAAAGTGAGTTATATTGACTCAAATTATTTTTCATTTAGCTTGGGAATGACAGGAATCACAAACAGTATTAGAAAGTTAAATCTATCATGCTTAAACATGTGATTCCCTAGATCAGGCAAATAAGATAATATTATTGACTTCTACAGTTATGTAAGCAGAGCAGTTTATACAAAATTCAGTTTTGTCTCAGACTACAGAAATATTGTACTTTATATTATAAAGAACAAATAGATAAGGAATGATTAAACCTTTACAACTTTTTGAATACTTGTGCTTTCAAAAGAACACTTCTTGGTGATACATATGTTTTATTTTATTTTATTTTGTTTTAAAAATAATGTATGGCATGGATTGAAATAGATTTTAAAATTTTCCCGCACCTTTTATAAATTTTCTCTTAATTTATATTCTCATGTATACTTTCATATCACCTATGTATTTAAATTTATTTTCTCAAAATAAGTCTTGTTCAAGATGCATAATTTTAATACCTTTATGATATATTATATATAATATACTAGTAATATAAATTCTTTGAATAAGAGATTGCATAACTGACAGATTCTGTTTCATTAATACAGCTTTCTGCTGGAAAAGTGAAATTGAAATTACTGAAAGAACAGCTTCAAGGTAAACTATTTTTTTATCACAGTACTGCATTGCATTGAAATTGGAATTGCATTGAAAATTAAAGCATTAGAATTGTTTATGCAGTATAAATTTTACAAAATGTATAATTTTATATCAAATTATTAATATTTTTATATGAAATACAATTGTTTTGGATAGACATCTTTCATATAAAAATGTCAATTTAGTATAGGATGATAATAAAAGCACTTTTCAAAACTGGTAACTTTTATAGCATTTTTCCTTAAAGTTAACATAATCTCTTGATCAGTAGTAAAGTTCAGCTGAATAAATTCATAAATTAGAATTTAACTATCAAAAATTAAAAGTACAGTTAAAGTATACTTAATGTTTTAATAATTTTGGTAATAATAGCTATCAATGTTGAATTTATTATAATCCCAGAAGAAATAAGCTTTTTGATAATAGAGAATAAACGAAGTTAGTTCAAATGGTTAAAATAATTTGTAGGGTCAGAAAAACAAAGGACTGAAGCACATGTCTACATGTGTAAGGCCCCAGGTTGGGTCCCTAGTTCCACATACTGCACCCCATGCATTGCCAGAGTTACTCATGGCCTTTGACACACCTGAGTTGAGAAGCACCTGCTGGCCAGGTCCTAGGATTGTACCATCAAGCACTTCTAGGAGACCCCCCAAAAATATATATAGTGAGATTAAAAAGTTCAAAATATAGAAACTTATTATGATATATATTTACTAGGCATATGTTTATCATATATATTATAGTAAATGTTTAAGAGGGATGTTTTGGGGCAGAGGTTGGAGGAGCTATACCTGGAAGTGCTCAGAGGTTACTCTTGGCTCTGTGCTCATGGATATCTCATGATAGGCTTAGGAGGCCATATTGGGTGCTATGGATTGAACTCAGGTTTTCTGCATGCAAGTGAAATGCCTTATTCTTTATACTATCTCTCCACCATCTAATTGTTTTTCTAGGTGGAGTTAAATTTGATCTATAGATATGGGAAAGAATAACACAGGAATTCCTTCCAGAACATAGTTATTATATTCTATAATTATGTTTCTATTTCAAAGGCAGTTGCATATTGCTTTAAATGCTTACATGGCAAGAATGGAACTGTGCATTTTCCAAACTACTGGGGAAATTAGATTTGACCATTCCCAATTGTAGTAAACAATTAATGTTTAAATATGGTTTAAGAATTTAGAAATGTGCAAAATTTCACTATTTTATACAAAAATAAACATTGCTTTTTAAAAATGTCATTATTTTTTTTAACAGAGCCAATGAAACAACTTAATCATAAAATGACAAGTACTCCTCAAAGTGAAAAATCTTTGATAAAAGGAAAATATTGTGGACAATGTGAGATCAAAGCTGCTCTACTAGTATGTATATTATAAGAAATTAGAATATCACTTTGGCATAGTTTTATACACTTTTAATGATGTAGCCTTATTTGGTAGCCATATATTGTTTTTCCTTTTTACTAATGATGAATTACATACATATCTGAATAAGGGCAAAAACTACACAACGCATTAAATCTTTAATTCCTGTTTAAGGACATTAACTTCCTCCCTCCCCTGGATCATTCTTGCAAGCACAAAATGTTTACATTGCGACATCTTTAGGTCATAAACCAAAGCAATGACAAAAATCATTTATGAGTATCACTACCACATATTTCTCTATATGTCTCGAATTTAAACTTCTGAAGGGTTCTCTAATGAAATCATTAAATGTTCTGCTCTATTCTCTTATTTATTTGATTTGGGGCTATAAATTAACACAAAACTTTGAATCGTGTATCTTAAATTTGGAGAGGTGTGACTTTTGACAAAAATTATGAACCCCTATCAAATTAATAGGATGCCCTTGAAAGTTCCCTTGTACCTCTTTCAGTAATGTAACTGTTTTAACACTATCATGTATTGTCTATTCTTAAGTTTCATGTAAATGGAATTATATGGTATTTGTGTGTGTGTAAAGCTTATTTTGCTTCACATGAATATCTATCCTATTACTACATTTGTTCATTTGCATTATCTAATATACTGAGACATTTCATTGTGCAGGTATAACAAAATAATTTATCCATGCCAAGTGACATTTAATTGTTTCAGTTGTTTTTGACATATTTTTGGTTGCAACAGACATTTGTGTGCAAGTCTTTTAACTTTTTTCTCAAATAGCATTTTTATTTCTTAAAACTTTTAAAATCATACCCAAGATCAATATATTCTTTTAACTCTAAATTTTACTGGTGCAATTTCATGAGTTTTAACAAGTGTATTGCAAAATAATCTCTGATTTAAAGGGCACAACTTTGGGACAGATTATAGTGTAGATCTTAAGAATTTTTACGTGCGTGTGACAGACTTAGGTTTGTAAGTACCTCCAGGTGATCTTTGAGTGCATAGCATAGCGAAAGTAAGCTTAAGACACTGCTACATCTGTAGCACCAAGCCCAATACCTAAATAATTAGAAGTTTCCATATTAGCCTCGCTATCTATCTCTTTCTCTCTCTATTTATATAATAAATTTATGCATGAGTATGTGTATGTGTGTCTGTGTGTGTACGTAGGTGTGTGTGTCTTTTTTAAAAAAAAATTATTGATTCACCGTGAAATAGTTACAAAGCTTTAATGTTTGAATTTCAGCCATACAATGATCAAACATCCATCCCTCCACCAGTGCACATATTCCAACACCAATATCCCCAGTATCCCCATCCCCCATACCATCCTTCCCCCTGCCTCTGTGGCAGACAATTTCCCCCAAACTCTCTCTCTACTTTGGGGCATTATAGTTTGCTCAAAATTTCCCACCACCATTCAAGCCTGCCTGCCAGGGGCAGATGATAGGTCATTTATTTTCTAGTGCTAACTTTGAAATCCTCCACGTGCTTCTGGAATTCAAAAATTGTATTCACAAGTGGTTAATTGTATTTACAATTGTTCACTGGTTGGGATCCAGTGACATCTCTTTAGGGCGCTAATCCATTTTGGGATTCATTTGGGAGTCTCTGGACCAAGGCCATAGGTGAGCTAAGATGGTTCCCAGAAGCAGATTGCAGCCATGACAGCCAGGACACCAAGTGGGCGGGGGGAATGGGGAGGGATGGTCTGACTGTTCTGCTGCTGGCGAGAGGCTTGGAGTCTTAGACCTGGAACCCACATACCTGGGACTTGCTTCTGGAAGCTCGTGGCTGCCAGAGTTTCATCTGGAGCGGGCGGAGAGGGCACAACCACTCTATCTATGTGTATGTCTTTTGGACCACATCCAGTGGTACTTGTGGGACAGTTTGGGGTAGGGGACCTTACATGGTTCTGGGGATCTAACCTGGGTTGACTACATCTAAGCCCAGTGTCTTACCTGCTGTGCTATTTCTATAGCTCTACCAAGACCTTTTAAAGTATAGGCTCTAAGTCATTAAGTATTGATATGCAACAAGTTGATCTGCAACATCACCACCATCTATATATTTAGTTTGTTTCATCTTGTTTTTGTTCCACACCCGACTGCACTCAGCTTTTCCTCCTAGCTCTCTGCTCGGGCATTGTTCCTAGTAGGCCTTGGGGGATGATATGTGGTGCCAGAAATCTAACTCAGATTGGCCACATGCTAGTCAAGTGCGTTATCCGCTATACTATCACTGTCATCAATTGCCTCAAGCAGGCCCCAGTAACGTCTCCTTCATCCTAACCCTGAGATTTTAAAAAGTACCATATTCAAGGCTCTTTCAGGGTCAGGAGAATGAGACCCATTATTGTTACTGGTTTTTGGCATATTGAATACGCCACGGGGAGTTTGCCAGACTCTGCCGCGTGGGCAGGATACTTTTGGTAGCCTGCCAGGTTCTCCAGAGTAAGAACTAGATAATAAGATGTCACGTGGCTGAGGCAAATAATCCAATAAAAAAATTAATCAATAGATTTGAATAAAAATTTCTCAAAGAATATATTTAGTCATTTATTAGTCATTAATTACCTAAAAGATGACTAACATCATTAGTTATTAGCATAATCCATGTTAAAACCATAATAAATGGATAATGATAATTGAAATTATAGATAGTGTGAGAATGTGGAGAAATAATACTGTTGCCGAGTATGTAAGTGGTACAGTTTCTTTGGTGAAAATTTGACAGCTTTTCAAAAAGCTAAACATTGAGTTACTATCTACCCTGCAATCTCACCTATAGGTATATGTATAAGAAAAATAGAAATGTATATCCATCTTAAAACTTACATATGAATATTAGAGAGCATTTACTCATAATATGAATGAAATTGAAACAACCCAAAATACCATCAACAGATATATATATGTGTGTGTGTGTGTGTACTTTAGAATATTATTCAGCCATTTAAAACAAATGAAATAAATATATACATCATGACCTTGATTAAACCCCAATAATATTATGCTAAGTTAGTGGTCTCTGAATTTATTTATGCTACACCCATCTTTTCAGAAAAAAATTCACTCAGCACCTACCCAGGAAATTTACCTTCAAGTGAAAAACAAAAAGTACCCAACCCCACCTCCCCACTACCAATCGCACCTAATACTATCACCATCCCCATGGATCATTCTAGCACCCCCTGGGGACTGATACTGCCCACTTCAGAAAACACTGTTAAAACAAGGCACAAAAGACCTGAAATTATATGGTTTTATTTATATGAAATGCCCAGAAAGGGGAAATGTTTAAAGAAGAAGGGTAGATCAATGGTTGCATAGGGTTGAGTGGGGTGGGCTGGAGATCCAATAGATATTAGGGTTTTTTTTTATTATCAATGCTAATAAAAGCACTTATGTGCTACAATGTAGTGAATTTTATGGTATTTGAATTATATGCCTCTTCACAAAAAAATTTAAAATCTAATGTAATTCCATAGGACTTTTGAAGAGAAAGAGCATAGTGGGTGACTCCCAGTCACAGATCCTCCTGACCGGGACTTTCTTTGGCTCTATTTAGGCTGGAGGGTGGTGGCCGCACCCTCCCAAGTCAAGGCCCTGGAGTGTGGAATTAAGAAAGAAGCTCCGTTCTCATTTGGGAGAGTCAGTAACAGCCTTGCCCCAGAAAGAAGTCTTGATGACACACTTCCTTACAATCCCCGATCCCAGAGGAACAAGCACTCACATTCACACAAAAAAAGTGATTTTAAATCACAGCTCTCTTCTTTCTTGAATGTGCCATTGCCATCAATCCTGAGAGAATTGCGATTGTGTCCACTTTACAGGGGAACCCAAGACTACAGAGGCAGAAGGTTGGTTGTGGTCATGCTCACACTAGCAGCAGGTTCTTTTAATACCCTGTGTTCTGTTAAATGTAGATTTGGGACCTACTTAACTTTTCACCAAGGACAAAAAGAAGTAGAATTCTTTAGAATGTATTTATATGGCTAAATTAAGATCTGTTGATACGTGGCCTTTCCTTTCCTCAGAGAGAATCACCTGAAGAACATGTCCCTCTGTAGGGACAGCAGTGGTTTGGACGTGCTGTAGTGTGCTCCGCTAAACTATCTTTCCAATTCCATGAAATTATTTCACCTTGCAAGATTGAAATGCTGTAATTATTGAACAGTTACTTCCTAACCACCCCTCTTCTCAGGCCTCAGGAACCACCATTCTTTTCCCTGTCTTTATAAATTTGATTATTTTACTTTCCCTGTGTATGTGAAGTCAGCACAGGGTTTATTTGGTCACTGGATTATTTCATTTATTGTTGAATATAACACAGTGTCTTCACAGTTCATTCATATTGTGGGATTTATCAGGGTGACCTTCTTTTTAAAGCTTAAGGATACCCCATTGTCTGTATATTTCATATTTTATCTATTCATTCATGGATGAAAGGTATGTTGGGTTGCTTCAATCTTTTGGCTATTCTAAATAATGATGCTATGAAGATGAGCATACAAATATATGTGCAATCCCTGCTTTGGGTTCCTTTGAGCATATACCCAGAAATGAAATTGTAATTTTTCTTTCTCTTTAATCCTCTCCATTCAATATTGTATCGTCACTAATATCTAGCAATGTTTCCAGGAATTTCCACATTATTAATGACAGTGGTCAATGCTAGTTACGAACTTTATCAGTTATATCTGATTGTATATTCTTCTGACCTCCACTGGGGCATAATTATTTCTTGGTTTCTTTTCCTTTTCCACTTTTCTAGCTTTCCTCAAGCATTTTTTTGTTGCCATTGTTGTTGCTATTGCTGTTGGCTTTCTCTATTTTTATCTGTTAACACCGAAGAGTCAGAGGACTTATTCCTGGGCCTCTTAGAACCCTGAGGTAATCACATTCCCTCTCTTGGTTTTGCTACTGTCCCTTTCCTGATGATTTCTAATTTTACATTTCTAACTCATT